TCGTTTGGGAAATCGAGGAGCTCCTCCACGATGAAGTGGTCCCCGCTTCCATTTTTCTTCTCTTGGCCAAATTGAGGGGTTCCCGCCCTGTAATAACCGCCATAGACGCAATCTGAGGACTCCATTTTGGGAAAAATTAGGATTGCGGATAACAAAGAGAAGAGCTAGAGCGAGAGAGAGGACAGAGAGAGAGAGAGAGAGAGTTAGGGTTTTATTTTGGAAGGGGAAGGATTAAAAGAGTAAATAAAGGAAAATATTTGTTAATATTCAACACGAGGGGGGGGTGGGGGGGGGGGGGAGAGAAAGCGAAAGGGCATTTGCTATACTCCCCATTACTTCACGCTACTTACTTTTATGCCCTCCGTGCAATTAAATTAATATGGGCAATTAATGTAGACAGGAGTGGATAATTAGGTAATTACCAAGGTGTAAATTCCTGAGAGTAAATTAATTGGGTTAGAAAAAAAAGGGGGTTTTAAGTTTTAAGTGATCAATTCAACCCTAACTCTCCTAAGGAATCGATCTCTCAGTGTTTGTCGCTGCGACTCGTGCATTAGCGTCCAATTTTGCAGCCGGATTCTTCTGCCTTAATTTATTTTTAAAATTTTTTTTTTCTAACCTTGAGAATCGTGCTCATTTTCCTCCTTTTCCCCTCTTTGATTTTAATTTTACAACAGTTTCTACTCTTTTTTAATAATTTATTTACATAGCCCACGCTTAAGCACGACGGTTACAGCTCGACTTGGTTCGATTGGGGTCCACGTCATTTGCCTCGTGGAAGTGGAGCGAGTCAGCCGTCGGATAGATTATGTTGACACGTGGCCATCATCGTGTGGTCTGGTGGGGGAGACTTTGTTGGGTGGGTCCGGGTCCTACGTCGCGATTCCCGAGGTGAATCGAGGTTGGAGGACGGGATATGGTGCTGTCCAAAAGTTTTTAATTATGACCGCGAGCATTCTTCCTTGGAGTGTTTTGTGTATCAGTCCTCTCTGTATTTTGGAGTTGTCAATCCAAACTATAAATTTTGCATTTTGACGTTATTTTTTAATTAAAGGAATGATGTGTATTAATAAGTATTTAACGAATCAGTTTAGACAATATAAATGTTATCACTAACAAAGATGGCATCAACTACACATAGGTAATGCAAAAAAATAATATTATAAAATAGGTTTATGAAAACCAAACTAAGAATGAGAAGGGGCAAATAACTGAATGAGCTTCATTCAACCAATGACGCCAAACAAACGATAATCAGATGCTTTGATCATTGACGGAGCCAGGAGGCTGGGTGGCTATGGCCCCCCATTGGCTCTTTACAAAATAGGCTTATAGCGTATTATGGGGAGCTTGTTTTTTTAATCAAACTAGTTTTTAATGTAGCTTTTAATATCTACTTGTTTGGTAAAGTATCAAATAATTTAATTCATAAGTCCTATTTTTAAAAGTAAGTATACCCCAGCTTTTGAAAACTAGCTTGTAAGTTCATCTAAATAAGCTAGATTTGATAAAAAAATTTATTTTTTTTTGCCCAAATAACCTTTGTAGCATTTTTATCATAAAAGCTAAAAGTCAGTAAAATATAGCATAACCTATAAGCTTCAAATAATAAGCTCACCCAAGCACCCTCTTAGAGTACTAGGTTTTTGGTCCCTCAAATCTTTCAAATTTTAAATGTCCCAAACCTTTTATATTAGAATGTAATCCCCTAACCTTTCATATTTGGATTTAGTTTCTCCAAATCTTCATATTTTGTTATTAGTTCTCCAAACCTTAAAGTATTTGCTATCGGTTCCCCAATTTTTTTTTTTTTTTGCATTTCAAGTATAATAGGTAAATGTGGTCTCAATTTCCATAACATTTTGCATGTAATAGTATATGTTTGACTTGGAGTTTATAATTGCATGTGGTTTTTAAAGTTTTGTAATGCAATTGTAAATTGAAGTTGTTTTTTTTCCAATTTCATAAAGTCTTACATTAATAAATAGCTATGTGAAATGAATTTCTATGTTCATGTACTCATGCAATTATTTTATAAATTTGGTAGATAAATTTTTTTCCATTTCTTCTTAGGTATTACACTAGTTTTTTCCCTTCTTATTAATGCTTTAATACCAAAATTTAATGGTATAATTTACAGGATATTGTCAATTCGTCAAGTTTTTGAAAAAGGTTATAATTTTTAGTTCATGGTTATAGAAAAAGGCAGCTACAATTGATATATTACAAAAAGACTTTAGGAGATTGCTGTTATTCAATGATGAGTGCATATGTTGAAATTGTTGCGCCTCGAGAAACCAAAACAATTGCCGAGAAAAGATAAACCACAACCAAAATCAATAGCACAAACAATCAAACACTAGTTTTACGTGGTTCGGCAAGATGCCTACGTCCACGGGGCAAGGAGGGGGGAGTTTTCACTATCAGAAATCAAGAGGAACAAACTAGGATTACAAATCTCTCATAAACCCTCAACAATCAACTCTCAATCTCTCCAATTGCTCCTAGAATAGAAGCCCAAAGAAAACTCTCTCAATCTGCTCAAATTCGTCCTTGCTCTTACCCTAAAAAACACCCAATGGGTATTTATACAAATCCAAAACGAAGCGGGTCTGAAAACAGGCCCAACTCAAAACCGCAGCGGCGGTCGACCGGTACGGTCGACCGCGATCCATCGCGGTCGACCGGGCCGGTCGACCGCCCACCATCCAGTAATCAAACCCAGAATCCAGAGAGATCGGCGGTCGACCACGTCGGTCGACCGCTACCATCTTCGGTCGACCGCGTCGGTCGACCGCCACCAATCCTGATGCCCAGAAACTCCTGTGCACGAATGCGGTCGACCGCACCGGTCGACCGCCAACCTGTTTGCCTGAAAACCTGATCCTGAGCACCATCTCTTCACTTGGCATCTAGAAGAGCATTCCGACCGATCTGTCATTGCCAGTCACCATGAATCAGTTACAACCGCAGGCCCTACCGTTTCAACTCTCAACTGAAGCGATCCGAACACCTCCACCTGAGGTGAAACAATGGTCGTATCCAAAAAATATCCACCAGCTACATCCAAATCAACCACCTCATCATCTGCACCCATAAATAAATGACTCCCATGTTGTGCCACCTCAGCTGGAATCCCAACCAATACAGAATGACCTGGAGTACGTGGGAAAATCCCCACCCAATGTGGAGTAGCATCAATCTCCACCCGCTGTGATATCCCTCTGACCTGATCAATACTCTCCACCTGTCGAGAGTCCAAAGTGACAAAGCTGCTCAGACCAAACTCAGAAGCTCCCCACTGATAGCCGAATGAACTCCTGAGTCCCAAATGCGCAATCGGATCCAACCTCACATCAACGATGTGACCAAGTGCTGGGTAGCCAAATATCCGACGCCGACCAAAAACTAAAGCAGCTCCATTAGATCTTACAACTCTATACGCAGCAGTCGGCAACCTCATAAGATGACCCAAACCTGTCGAAGCCTGAATACCAGATCCACTGCTCGACAACCAATACCGATCCTCCTCCAGAAAAGAACGGCTCACTGAATCCGTCATCTCATCACGTCGCCCCACTGTCTCCTCTCCTCTGAAGTGTCTCCAACTGCCATGAGCTCGGCACCAATGCAAGAAAGGACTCCTACTAGAACAAGTACGACTGGTAACCTTTCTGCCCATACACCTCCTCCAACTATTGCGGACTACTAGGGCTTTATACCAACGGGACTTAGTTACAACCCAAATATGCCTAGTACAATCCCCAACATAGGAAACAAAATAACGATTACCTCCCGATGATGCCTCCTCGGAAAGCCCCCCAATGCCTGACTGAACACCTCCAATAAGACCCCTCGATCGGTGGATAGAAGTGTTGAACTCCACCTCGGTCTTCTCGCTCATCCTAATGTGCTCACAGGACTTCAATCTGCAGGTCATAGCACTCCTCAACAATCTGTGCACGGTATAACCAATAATATATCCCAGCACCAAACAATGCCACAGTCTAGCCATAGAAGTAGTCAGCGCCCTATCAACTACCGTGCTCCCAAGTAGATAATACAAGTTACTCCGCCTGACTCCCTTCATCACAATTATGGACCCCGATGTGACCTTCAAGCGAGAATCCGTCAAGATCACCCTATAGCCTGCTGCCTCCAATACCCCAAGTGAAATGATGTTCTTTCTCAGTTGAGGAACGAACCTCACATCAGCCAACTCCCGGATCATCCCGTCAC